CATTGACATTCGTGACGCAGTGAAGACTTTTAATATCTTCTCACATACTTTTTGGTAGTTTCTCTATTTTACTTGGAGTTTACTACTGAATAAAGAAGCCTTGGACAATGGCCGATGTCAACTTCGCTCTTACCGATCCTTCTAAAAAGTAGTATTTTCAAGGTTTAACGTCATTAATGTTTAGATCTATTTAAATTTTAAAAAATTAATTTCATATTATAAATTTAGAGGTTTTTGGCGACGACATACGTCCACTTTACCTGGAGGGTAGGCAAATACGTTAATTATTAAAAAAATTTTTTTAATTTCTTTTTTTTTTATTTTATTTTATTAAGTAGTATTCACTAATAAATATTATATATTTTCAGTGTCAAGCCTGTGGAGTCGAAAACAGGGGCAACGAGACTAGTGATTGGTGCTCAATACTCCTATGGAGAAATGTCAGCTGCAAATGCTGTTGAAGTCACAGGGTACGCCAAAAAAAAATAAAAATATATTATACAATTTATTTATCATCCTGGTGATCATCTTATTGAAATTAATTTACAAAGAAATACGCAGACAAATTCTTCCAATCAAGCAACTCGAGATTTACACCATAAAGATCCTTCTTTAAATCCGTCTGTCAATTTCTCAAACTTTATGTCGGATACAAATGATGAATGGAACGACAAATTGGATAGTGAAGATTTACCGATTGATAAATTGAAAATTCAAAGCCAACCAAAAAGCTCTCAACAGAAAAAAAAAGAAAAAGAAAAGGTACCAGAACTAATTAGCACTCAGCCGGTTTCAGTTGAGAAAAGCATCGGCATAAAAGCTGAAATTGCTGGACTAATACAAGGTAACTTATATATAAAATAAAAAGTAAAAAATATATTAATTGATCTAAAATTTAATATTCTCGAATGATTATCTCGCAGATCCTATGAATTCGATAAACTCGTTGAAATTGCACGTCTCTAATGTTAATCAAAATCCACGTATTAATAAATTTAAAGATGTTTTACAAAGTCCTAATGTTGATTTGGGTATGCTAATAATGCTTTTGTATTATTTCTTGATAATATAATTTTTCTTGTAACAACGATTCTATTATAAATAATTTAATTGACTTTAGCTGTACTCAGAAAACTTAGTTGGACAGGTATACCAGATGAATTGAGACCAATGGCATGGCAATTACTCCTTGTAAGTTGATTAATATATATTTTTATAATTCTAAATATTTTAATTATTAAATAATTTATGACATGGACTTTCCACCATAGGGATACCTTCCATGTAATTCTGATCGTCGTGTAGCCACATTAGCACGTAAGCGCAAAGAGTATGAAGATAGCGTCTCCCAAGCGTATGCAAGGGGAGTTGCTGGACTGGATCAAACCATATGGCACCAGGTTAGAAATCGGATGAGGTCTATGTATAATATGTGCATTTTATTTTTATTTTTATTTTTTAATTATACGTTAATGCATTATAGATTCATATTGATGTTCCTCGAACAAATCCTGGTATTGCGCTTTACCAATATGAGACGACGCAACAGGTTAGTTAATAATGAATTCTCGAACTAATTTTGCATACTAATGAAACTTAACATCCTAGTCTCTGGAACGCATTCTATATGTTTGGGCGATTAGACATCCCGCTAGTGGGTATGTTCAAGGAATCAACGACATTGTCACGCCATTTTTTACAGTATTCCTGTCCGCTTACATAGGTGTGCAAATTTTAAAATTTTTTTTTTTTTTTTTTTTTTTTTTTTTTTTTTTTTTTTTTTTTTTTTTTTTTTTTTTTTTTTTTTTTTT